CTTGTGACAACCTGTCCAGTTACACTGGGGCTGGGGCACAAACAAATCTGCAGACAAAACACACAGCCCCCATTTTAAGGTTAGCTGTCCCACAGGGGCTGCCCCTCAGCGGCCTCTGCCTTAACTACTGCCTGTCCCGCAACCCCGGCCCACAATTCCTGAATCTGCACCGTCTTTACTTCTCAGGCCACTACCCTGGTTCCTCTTCCCTAACTAAGATAAACCGCTACCTAACTGGTCTCATCTGCTTTCTGACTCATTCTCTACACCGAGAGATGATTTAATGAGTTAGCTTTCTAAAAGGCAAATCAAATCTCAATAGTTGTTATTTTTTGAATCCTTAAAATATTCCTGCCCAACAGTATCATTACACCCAGGGAAGCTGAGGCGCACTGATGGCCAGTACCTTAACTGACACCACAAAGCTAGTCAGGGGCAAAGCCACTCGTGACGATGACTCGCTCTATCGCCCCAAAAAGAAAAGTATCACCTTCTCAATACAATATTCACAGCCCTGCAAACACAGGCCTGATTTGTCTTTCCCACCTCACCTCCCACCAGCACCCCTTGCGGACCAGTCCTCACGGCCTGCTCACCTTCTGGAAACCCAATGCACACATCTGCACCTTTGTGCCTCCTTACAGTGCTCATTAATTCTGCCTTAGTGACCTACCTGATCTCCGCCTGGGAAACCCTGCTCATCCTGCCAGCTTCGAGGAGTCACCTCTCAGAGCCGGCAGGCACCCTGGGCAAGGGCATCCCTGCTCCTCACTCTCAAAGCACTCTGGCACTGTCTCTCACGTCGAACTTACCACCGTTCATCAGTCCGGGGCAATCTGCCTGCCCCCTATTCTGCAGGCTCGTCAGGGCAGGGCCAAGTCTTTTTCATCCCTGCATTCCCACTTGCTAGCACTGTAAACAACTCATATTTATTGAATGGATGGGTGGCACCATGACCAACGCAAAGCTCTATATGTACAACACTGCTTCACAAATGGATGTATGTCAAGTTGCTTAAAAGACGTGCTTCCCCTGCACACATGTGAATAAAAGGCTCCACTGACAAAAATGGGACTTGAGGAGAGCTTCTGGGTATATCTCTGTTAGAGGAAGAAGAAAAGCTCTCTGTGTGCACCTGCTTCCTGAGGCCGGCTGTGCAGCCCTGGCCGCAGGGAGCATGGGGAGGCAGACACCGTGTCAGTGGGGCCCAGAGCGCACCAGATGATGGGGAGGGCGAGGGGCCCAACCGAAGCTCAGCCACTTTCCTCTAAGATGAGAGGAGAGATCTGAACTCAGGAAGAATCAAGGTATCACTTGGTACTCTGACAATCCTACGTTCACTGAGCCTCTAAATAACTTAGAGTTTTAGCAGTAATTTACCTCAACAGAAGAAAATCTAACTCAATAAAGAAGCAAAAAATCAGCATCAGCTCTTCCACTGCCTGGGAAGGGAACGGATGGACTTTATTTAGCATTTTATGACGGTGATGCACAAACACAATGATCTTAGCTCCTCTACACAGAGAACAGAGCAGAAGGGCCTTCAGAAGCCCTGATCACTACTTAAGACAGTTACTTAAAAACTAGTGAATATTCTCTCCATCCACAACTAGAAGTAGCTGCAGAAATAACCACCCTGAAAGGTTAGCAGGTATAGCCAACATTATTCCATGCTTCTTTTCATCCAGCAATTCCAGGGCATTTTTCAAGCATCACATTCCTATAAAGTCAAAACTGCCCCTCCTCCACTTTACCACTGGGAATCTGAGAGCCTGGGTAACAGACTTGCCAAGAGGGCAGAGTTTACTGGTAAGATACAAATAAAACATGAAATCTTGATTCCAACCTCTCTTCAACCATCTTTCTATATATATATACACACACACACTCTCTCATTTTTTAAATCTGACTCTTAAGGCTTGATAATAAATTTTACTTTGATTATCCTAAGTGGGTGATCAGGGCTCCAGTAAAAACTGCAGGCTGAGTGATGGCTCTGGCAAATGCTACTCTTTTTAGTCACGTAATTCAGAAATGACAGGAAATACCACAGGTCCCAGAAGCCAGGAAGTCTGTGGCATTTATATTTTATATATCAATTTATTTCAACATCCCTCATTCCCATACTCATTCTCTCTGGAAGGAGGAGCTGTTCTAGCCTCAAGCCACTGGATTGCTTTAAAGGCTCTTCTCTCTCCTCTGCAACCTGATGCCCATTAGTTGACCCTGGGGACATGTTACTAGAGACTGGAGTCAGTTCCCCGAACTCAAGCAATGAGGTGATCTTCAACCCCTGGGCGGCCCCTCGACCAGACCAGCGTGGTATGCAGCAATGGCCAAACCCAGAGGCCAGGTTAGCAGGTGGAATTACACACCAGGTAGGCACTCTCTCAAAAGATGCTCCCAGAGAACATGTCACAGTCACTTGGTTTGCTTTCTGCCTCTCTCCATACCTTGCAAAGTGCACTTGATTTACTCAGACTGCTGGATAGGATGTGAGCAGAGCTCCTAACACAGCTGTCCTGGCTAGCAGAAACGGCCCCGGGGCTGGACTGCTGGGTTCAAATTCTGATTCTGTCTCTTCTAGGCTTTGTAATCTTTGTTTGAATTCTTCCAGCCTCCTGTTTCTCATCTGGCCTCCTCTCCCTCAGCAGGTGTGAGGACACATGAGGTAACATCTCAGAGAGCTCAGAATAGCCAGGCCTGGCAAACAGTAAGTCTCAATCGATGTTAGCTATTGTCATTACAACATAACATGTGGGGAGAGGAAAGGGAAATGAGCCACATTTATTCCGTATACTATATTCCTATCTACCTATTTGAAGTTACTCTGATTTGCTTTCTTAACATGGAATTTTGATGTCTTTGGGAAACATTTGCTCTGTACAACATGAAGCTTATTTAATGATTACTACATAAAAACAACAAAAAATCTGCTATGGATGCTCCTTTGGGAAAAAGCCTCAAACTTAAGGTCAAGGCTGCTCTGGGGTGTTTCAGGAAGAGCTCGGCCATTGGAAGGCTCATAGGGAGGTGTAAACAAGGTGATAAAACTAGGGAAGTTTGCTAGCCGGTGTAAGCCTCAAAACAAACTTAAAAACCTGTTTACATGTTTCTAAATCATCTTTATGGCCTGAAAAGGTTAAAAAAAAAAAGGTGAAAATAAATAAATGTATGTGTGTATATACATACATATATATATATATATAAACTATTCTGGCACCAGAGGAAAGAAAAAAGGAAGAAACGGATGCAAACAGTGAATCCACATGAGAAGAAAGGGCTGTTTTCCATGCATGAGCTGGCACCTGAGAGTGAAGAAAAATTCTTATCTGGCTCTATCAGGGAAAAAAATTAGATCTTTCTACACTTTCTAAGGTGGTAGTAGCAAAATCAAGAGTAGACATTTGATAAGCCTGAATCAGTATACCTTAATTTGAAGCAGAAAGGGCTTGGTGTTTGGAAAGCACTGAGGGGCTTAGAGTTAGAAGAGGGGCCACTCCCGACGGAAGCGAGGACACAGTGAGCTCTAACAACGAGGGACACTTCTCAGGGAAAGCTCAAGAGGGAAGCCCACCACCAGATTAATCTTCCTAAAACAAACAAACACTTTCTCCAGGTCTCTTCTCTGCTAAAAAATCTTCATAGACCCCAGGGCCAACAGGGGAGTTCATGTCTTTGGAGGCTTGGAGCCCCCACCTACCTTTCCGGTCTTGTTTCACCATCAGGAAACGTCCACTCCTGCCAGAAGGGTTTCCTGATTTGTTCCAGGGAGGAACAAGCCATGCTCATTTCAGCTTGGTCTCCCAGGCCTATCCCAGTACCTGGCACACAGTAGTTGCTGGTTCAACAAAAACGGGAATGCTTTTAGGCCCGTCCTTTGCACTTCTCTCCTGGAAAGCCCCTTCCCCACCTGTCGAGTCAAACTCAGGCTCTTCCCAAAGTCTGGCTCAAGCCGTCCACCCTTCTCAGCGCCGCACCACCCTTGCGGCCCTCTGCTCCAGCTCCTGGTTCCTACAGCAATCCAGTCACTTCAGAGCCTTATCGCTGTTTGGACACTCCCTGTTCACATGTTTTGTCTGCCTCACTACAGCAGGAGTTGGAGGAAGGCAGGATATTTTGAAGCAAAGAAAAGCAGTGGAAACATTATCAATCTGTGGCCAGACAGACCTAGTTATGTGACTTTGAGAAAACTTTACATAAAACAATTAGAACAGTGCCTGGAACATGGAATGCACTTCGTAAATGCTGGCTGTTGTCATTGTTCATCTCGAATCTTGTTCTCTCACTTATAAACCCTCTGCCAGGTGGGTCTTTATGAAGATTAGGAATGATGTCTGAAAAGTCTCCAGGACCTCCCTGAGCACAGAGTAGCCCCTTGATAGCCATATGGCAGCTATTACCACAAAGCCTCATGCTGGGAGCTGAGAAGATGCTCATGTGAGTTTATGGGATGGGATGAATGAACTGAGAGGGAGTTGGTCTAATACCAACTCAGATATTAAGGGAAGCTTTTCCAGTCATTCATTCAACAAATCTGTATCTAGGGCCTACCGTTATGTACCAGGCTTTGTTCTAGGTGCTGGGATACAACAATAAAAACAGTCCTTGCCCTATGACAGTTACATTCTGAGGGGGAAGCAGATAATAAACAGAGGGTGGGAGACAGAAATAAAAGCTTATGCGATGTTAAGTGCTCTGAAGAAGAAAAAAGCAAGATGAGGGTAGGCTGGCAAGGCCAGGGATGGGCGTCTGCTGAGGCGGCTTTCTAGCAGAGATCTGAATCCTGGGAGAGCTGGAGTTATCCAGAAGTTCTCACCCTCAGGCAGATTTTGGTGGCTTTTACACACCTCTAGTGACAAGAGACCCAGCTCCACCAAAGAGGCTATGGTCTGGCTCCCAGGTCCCTCTCAACTCAGATGAGCTATGACACTGCCACCCAGCCAACAGCACGTGCTCGGTGCCCACAGCCCCTGCAGGCACAGGAATTAGAGCCTTACCGCCACGGGTCTGCTCCCCAGGAAGTTCAGGTCGCTGTTCTCTCCAAACAGGTAGCCTTCCGGGTGAGTTGAGTCAAACTTCTCTCCTCCCATAATGAAGTGGCTGGCAAAATAGCTTCCTAAAGAGGGAGAGAGAAAAATCCAACAGAAACCAGTCAAGGTTACACCAAGTAAAAAAAAAAAGTTAAGTAAAAAAAAAAAGTTAACCCTTCAAACAAATAGAGCAATTCTTAATCTCGGGTGATTTCTTCCTCTTGATTTGAGACAATGGCACAAAATGAACAAAATCATACCAGTGAGAACCCAGGATGCCAAATATAAAATAGATCAGCTTTTCTTCTAACATTCTTAATTGGATCCTTATCATGATCTGTCTCTAAGACCATCAGCCAGCCAAAGACCAGGAGTCCCCCAACGCGCATTAATAACACATATATGTATTCTCTTCCTGATTTTTTTCCTTAAACTTGGTTATTCTCTGCCCTCCACTTACTCAGGAATCTTAACTGGAGGCATCAGCTGGTATGTGCACACACAGTTCTTTGCCTACATTTTCATAAGCCAGTTTGTACCAGTGCACAGAGGTCTCACTACATGTATGCCTCCACAAGCCTCTACAATGAAAGCTCTTCATTTTTCATATTTGCTTCAAAATGATTAATAGGAAAATATGAATTAAATAATCCAGCTGTCCCTAGCTTTACCTGCCAATTACCACACAGATTACGGAATTTAATAGTCTCGTGCTATGAAAGAAGGCTATACATGCAAGCTTGCACACGCTCATGGGCTCACACAGGCGCGTGTATACCCACACCCTCAGTCTCAAATCAGCAGTGCTAATGGCCAGGGTTTCACAGACATCAGTCACGGCAGGCCCCTCCATGCCCGAGGCAGGGATATTTTCAACACTACAAAACAAGATGCCATCAGCAGTCTCGTCTTGCGTCAGAATCCCCATCTGCCTCATCTAGACGGATCCGGAACTGTGCCGGGATGTGATGGCACTGGTAAGTCACCAGGGGAGGCTTAGATAACACTGCAGATTCCATCTGGGAATATGTTCCGACTTTGACGATTAAATGAATGCCTCTTAACCCGAATTTCTATAATGCAATTCTCCCATGAAGGCAAGTTGTCCAAAGTGAAGGCCTCATATCAGACGCACCTTCTCAGTGCTCCCATATACGCCAAATCTTGGGTTAGAACAAAGAATTCATGTGATGGCAAAAGGCTTCTTTATGTGTTTGCAGCTAGGACACAGGTCAAGTCCCCCAGTTAGTGTCAGTTTTTTTGAAGGCCTACAATAAACTAAAAAAATGAGATTCAGCACCTTCAGCCTGTGAAGAGGCCAGAGGCAAAAAGAGAGAGAAGAAAATTCTACCAGAAAAATGGAACCAAATATTCATTTTTGGATTTTCTAAACATGGAGCTTTACTCTAGAAACACTTGTTAAACAAAGCATGAGGATAAAATCCCTCACCACAAACTGAGGCAATTCTTTAATTAAACAACAAGCGGGACAACATTTTTTGAGAGTATAGCCGCTAAAATCAAAGCAATCACTGAGCAACTCTTGAGAGTTACCTATTCAAAACTTAAAAACAAAGGGCTCCATCTGCAGCGATACAGCAGTGTGATTCATCATCTAGGAAAGCTTGCTTATCCATTATTCACGTCTAGCACTTGCTAGCCCTATTTTCCAAGTGCATAATTTATGGAGGAGAGGTGCCTAGTTGCCTTAAGTAGAAGTAGCCATCTCAAATTATTTAAGTTCATTTACTATTGAACCTTAGTAAGACATATTTTCTGCACATTAGAATTTATATATTTATTTTAATAGAGTGAAATTAGAAAAATTAAAGATTTCACATGGATGGCTTGCCCGAACTGTGAGTTAAGAATGTAGAGAGGCAGGCTTGGTGTCTGGAGCTGAAGAGGTTGAGTTCAGTGTGGGGCTTACTGAGGTGCCAGTACCTGTGAGGGACGTGGAACAAGGAGCTCCAGTCAACCTGCTAACAGGTGGCTATGGTCAATCCAAGCAAGAGAACAGCTCTGATGGCATGGGGTAAAGGGTTAAAGAAGGAGACAGGGTTCTACTGGGAATAATGCCATTTTTTTGCCATAATAGTAAAAGAAAAGAAATGATCAAGAAAGTAATATACAGCAAATTGTAGTTTTGCCTTGTGTTAAAAATCAAGAACACAGATAGACAAAGACCTAAAATTTGGGTTGATAGTTCACAGATGAATAAGGATTTTTCATTTCAGTAGAAGAGTCAATGTGAAGGTCCTTTGAAAAACTGATCCCCCTTTGCGCACTTAAAATACAAATATCTCAGCAGTTAAAAGAAAAAATAAACCTCAGACAACCCACAGTTTGCTTTTTTCCTTTCTTTGGCACATACCCCTCTAATCACTCGCCCCAGTTGGCCTAGTGAGAAAGAGCACCCCACCATTTGCGGCCTGGAGAAGGCGTCTGTC